GTGGAGTAATAAAATGTTTTCTTCTGATTGTCATCCTATACTCTGATGTCTTCTCTCTGCACAGGCTCCAGACTTGCTGTGCTCAGAAATCCATGGTAACACTGGAGGTTAGGTCACTCAACCCTCTCACATTGTATAGCAAGTAATATGACAGAGTGCTTGCCTTTCCTATGGAAGCAAATGTAGACCTTAATCACTAATGTCTTCAGTTGTCATGACTATTCAGTACAAAGTAGTTATGACATCCCACCAGCATGACATACTTGTGGTTTACAACGTTCTAATACTCGGGCAGATTGTTCTTCCTGGTGGAGAATAAGGTGTATTGATCTCTGCTGTCCTGCCTTGAAGCCTTGAGCAGATGGTGGTAGTGTACTCAGACAGCTGTTCCCAGGGACTAGCCTTTGTTTATTCTGTTCTCTAGCCAACACCATAACTATGACAACAACACAGAGCATCAGTTTTAACACAAACACTTAATGCATGCCACAACTGGGCAATGTTTGGGCTGTTCATAATACACTGATTTGGTTTTCTGTTTAAATGAGCAAACTTAGCACAAATGTTGTCCCTCCAGAAGGAAATAACACCAAGAAGGGCTGGAGCTGCCAGGTTGCCCACCCATGCACTGAAATATCCCCAAGTCTGCTCCGCGCAGCCCATATGACACCACACTGTCAGCGCCTAGATAGGTAAATATGGCATCTCAACTAGGTGAAGATGTGGCCTGAGCACTGGTCAGGACCACACTGGCTATTTCTCTGCATACTCCAAAGCTGCTGGAGTGGCAGCTTTGAGTTTTAGACCTTTTTTGCTTTAGATCTTTTTTGTGGAATTAACAAAATCTTCATAGTTGTGAACTGCTATGGCCCTCCAAGGTGGCTCTCCAGCAAAAAGGAAACCAAAATCTTCTGCTCTCCCTTTGTTTGTTTACTTATTCACTCCTGACTAGGGCTTGGATTATTTCTTTAAGTTAACATGTTTATAAATAGCAATTTTATTAACATCTGTTATTTACTTCTCATTCAGCCATTAATTGTCATTAAACATTCACAGCTAAATATGTGTCTGGCTGACTCTAGAGAAGTGATTACACATAAAATTTTCAAAATTGAAACCTGGTTCTTGCAGTGGGGAATCATTTTCAAAAAGATATTGCAAAAAAAAAAAAATCATAATGTGATCTGAGAGGGGAGAAGTTGGAGGACACCAATCCTGGACTTGAATCAGAAACGTTAATGTTGATATTAATGTTAAGATTACTATGTAGTGACATCCACACCAGGCCCAATGAATGGGACAGGGCTGTATCATGTCTCTGCAAAGCAGTGTTCAAACTCCTCTTTCCCCACAGACTGCTTTTCCTGGTACTTCCAGACCAGCGTGCGTCATACAACTCAATCCAAGCCTTCCTCTGTTAGCTTGGAGTTTCCTACAGCTTCCTCTCAAACTTCTCTTTGTTCCCTAATACTGGTTTCATCTTCTAGAGGGACACTGTGACCTGCTTTTACTCACTGATGGAGTTAATACCATGCCAAAAGTAAAGCCTGACTATGCACAGCTGTAGGCTGGCTTCTCACATCTGATGGCCAGGTGAGGAGTACCTGAGAGATCTTCTGCACCACAGACAATATTTGTAGACAAGAGTGCTTTTTTATTAAAGGGAAGTGTCAAGGGAATATAAACAGCTCTCTAAAAACCACTCACCTCAGGTTATTACAGCAATTTTTTGAGGCGATGAACCTGAAGGAAAAGAACCCAGAATTTACAAAGCAATTTATTGCTGAAATCCTCCGAAAGAGCTGATACATAAGAGAGGGTAAACTTCAGGGAGAAGACCATTTCCTCTCCATGCACCACGCTATTAAAGGCCAATTTCTCTCTTGGAGTTCTGCAGTAAATACTCTGAGAATCTTTTTGCTATTTATTCTGCCTGTCCACGCTGGGCACCTTTCTCTCTCTGGCAGACCCTTACATGTGACCTTAGCTGTTTCCCCGTCATTATCCTGTTAGGAAGTATGAAAGTGCAGTTGATCTTTGTGCTGAAAACACACTCAGACTGCTCAGTAAAGAAACAAGAACTTTAAAACAATTTTAAAGGGTTTATGGACTCACGCCTGTGATCTCCATCTCCCAACACCACCAGTCATCGAAGCCCTCCTCAGTGCACTCACAGATCACACGCTCCGTTTGCAGGGAGGGGTGGAGGGATGCTTTCCATGCACTGCAAGAATCATCTGTCTTGGGATTTCTGTGAATTTTAGAGATGACAGGATATAGCACAGAAAAATACAGTGTGAGCATTGCTGTCTCCTTGAGAGCACTATTAAGCTTCATACTTACACTCTGAAATAAAACTAGTTACACCCACAGAAAAAATGCAGCCATGAGCAGAGCTTGAACCACATGTTCAGTGTGCACCTGAGCTGAAGATTCTCCTGGCAGAGCCCAGTTTCTGCTCTGGTTGTTGTTGAATCAGCTGATATCATAGGCCCAGTGTGAATATCAGAGGAGTTGAGGTCAACTCTGTGCATCTGCCCAGATTCGTCCGTTTCTGCTCAGCTCAATACTTCTCAGCACAAGTCATCCTCTGCAGTTAATCTGTACTGAGCCATCACACAGCCACACATAAAACTTCACTCCCTGCAAGAGCGCTTACATGCAAGTTCCCACAGAGCTCTGGTTTCAGCGAGGAGAAGCCGAGTGGTCCTGCAGGATTTTGTTTTTCATTGTTATGGTTTATTTTAAATGAAACAAAACTCAAAAATACACTGTGCTTTGCAATGGAAGAAGTCTCACGTACCCTTTTAAAGTAATGGCAGCAAATACTATCAAAGTCCTGTTTCGTAATATTTACAAAGCTCTTGATCCAGACAGTGAAGGGACAATTCCTCTACATCAAAAAACAGGAGACTTTCTTGTGTTGTTCTCAAGCGAACAAGTATTTTTCCAAGGACAGAATCCTGCAGTTACAGGCAACTCCTGACTCATTATCTTCCATATCCATGGGGTAAGCGAAATGATGACTCTCCTCCTAACGGTGCCTTGAGCTGGGTTTGGTCATGCAATCGAGCCTGTGGTTCACAGGTTAGAAAGGAGCCCTCATGGCAAATCAGGTGACATCTGCTTTACCTCCCTTCACCGAGGTATAAGCTCAGTGTTTTGCATATGGAAACATACTGTTGCTTCCTGTTCATTTTGTTTAAATCAGCCTATTAATTTTTGTACTATGCAGTCATTCTCAAGATGGGCATGACCTCAGTCTTTCATGACTTAATGACTTTCCCTTTGTGGGACAACGTACAGATCTTCCATGTGGCTCATCACTTTTGGAAAAAGACCAACTTCACAAGTACCTTGACTGGATGAGGAGGGGAAAAAGGAAGAAAGAGCCTTCTTCATTGCTTTTTAGGGACTGATCTGTAGTCTTGCTTTCTTCAGGCTGGAGGAACTCCAAACAATTTCTGCCGGCTCAAATAATGATGCTGGAATGGCACACTCCTGCAAATGTAAACAGTGGCACAGCAAATTGTTTAACCTTTGCCTGAAGCATAATTTCTTAGACAGTGAGGTGCTACGCTCTCCAGAGCAGCTGCAGAACATTAGGAGGGTGCCATTTTTTTCAAGTGAAACGGGAACAGTAATAATCTCACATTTTCCCATTGCTACTTATCACCAGCGAAGCGTTCCTACGCATCCGTAACGGAACACGTTTATCTTGGGGGCAGAAAGCTTTAGCGTACGCTTCCAGCGAAACAATTACTAAAAAGCAGCCTGAAATCACAGTTTTGACCTCAGCATTTAAAGCTTATTTTTCTGTCAGACTCAGTGGCCAAGTCAAATAATTGGGTGAGACTGACTGTGAGACTGGCAGATGAAACCTGCCTGTTTCAGCAGGTCGGGCAGACGGTGAGGTCCAGGTTCAGCTCAGGCAAGAGTCTGCCCACAGCAGAAGGAAGAGCCCAGACCGGCTGCCTCCTTTGCCTCCACATGAGACCTAGAATGGCCGAGTGGCTGCTATCCTGTCTCCTGTGGCCACAGGAGACCTGGGAGCACGTGGGCAGGGCTGGGACTGGTCAGGCTCAGCAGCGGCAGCAAGCACTGCTCCCAAATCTCTTACCCCACCTCTTCTCCACCCAAGCACCACTCTCTGTGGAGCATGTCCAGAGAAGGGCAATGAAGCTGGTGAAGGGTCTAGAAAACAAGTCTCATGAGGAGTGGCTGAAGGAGCTGGGGTTGTTCAGCCTGGTGAAAAGGAGGCTGAGGGGAGACCTTATCGCTCTCTACAACTACCTGGAAGGAGCTTGTAGCGAGGTGGGGGTCGGTCTCTTCTCCCAAGTAACAAGTAATAGGATGAAAGGAAATGGCCTCAAGTTGAGCCAGGGGTGGATATTACAAGAAATTTCTTCACAGAGGAGGTTATCAAATGTTGGAACAGTCTGCCCAGGGAAGTGGTTGAGTCACCATCCCTGGAGATATTTAAAAGACGGTTAGACGTGGTGCTGGGGGACATGGTTTAGTGGTGGGCTTGGCAGTGTTAGGTTTACGGTTGGACTTGATGATCTTAAAGGTCCCTTCCAACCTAGACAATTCTGTGATTCTCCTTTCCTTTCCTTCCCTCTGGCGGGAGCAGCCCTGGCCCAGGCTCGACGCTTTGTTTGGTTTTGCCTGAATCCAAAGCAACCACCTCAAAAGAGTAGAAGCCAAGGACAGAGGGGCCTCCCTGAGCTCTGGGCCATGGTGGGACCCATCACAGTTGGATGTTACAGACGGGCAGGTCACCCTCACGTGGGCAGGTCACCCACTCAACGTGCCCGAGTTAGATTTTAACGCCCGAGTGGATGTGAATACCCGTTGCTCTCTCTGCCCAGGGCACGGTTCTCTGGAGGAATAATGGCCTACTGTCCATGGCCCCACAGCAGGGGTAGCTGCCAGCAGCCCTCCTTGGCCCAGGGGTCGGATTGAGCCACTGGGCCATGCCAGGGAACCCCAGCCACGCCATGGCAGTGGCGTTGAGTGGGACCACAGAGCCACCACACCTCAGCAAGCCCACCATAACCCCCTCACAGGAGACCACTCAGTCTGCACTGGCCCCACTTGCCCACGGCTCCGGGGCTGCCCTCAGCCCCCAGAGCCTGTGGGGAGGGCATGGCCCCCAGAGCCTGTGGGGAGGGCATAGCCCCCCTGCCTGCCCCGCTCCTTCCCAAGGGGTCGACCCTCATCTCCCCATCAGCTTTCCAGTGGGAAACACGGGCTCGGGGGCGGCCGCCAGCCAGCTCGGGCAGGGGACGGGGCAGCGGGGGCTGCCCCCGGGGGTGCGCCCCGCTGATGGCGGCCGGGCGCCATGTGGGGGCCGGCGGCTGCCCCTCCGCCTGAGCGCAGAGCGCCGCTGCTCCTCGGCCGGGGGGCGAGAGCGGAGCCGGGGGGCCGGCAGCCAGCGGGGCCGGGGCCGGCCGGGCGGGGGTGTAGGGGAGCGGCGCCTCGGCCGG